TGAGGGTGGAGGTAATAGGATTCACTGAATGGTGGGATACGAGATGGTTGGGAAAAGAATAATACAAATGATTCCTTGGTGTCCAAAAATGTATTTGCAATATGTTGTTGTTGGTTACCATGGAGTCTATTACGACCCACAGTGACCCTACACAAAACAAGGAAACACCAGACACCCCTGCTCTAATCCTTCCCATCGTTCCCATGCCTGCGCCCATTGTTGCAGCCATGTATTCAGTATCTCTCTTTTCGGGCCTTCCACTTCTTCACTGCCCTCCACTTTACCAAGCACGATGTCCTTCTCCAGGGACTGGTCTCTCCTGACAACATGTTCACAGTCTGTAAGATGACTCGCCATCCTTGCCTCTAAGGATTATTCTGGAATACTTCTTCCGAGACAGATCTGTTTGTCCGTTTAGCAGTCCATGTCACTTTCAGTGTCCTCGTCCAGCACCACAATCCAAGGACATCAAGCCTTCTTCAGTCTTCCTCATTCAAGGTCTTAGTGAGATGGTGAGATAGAAGAGACTAGGGAGACCCGGTCTGGAAAAACATCTGGAATTTCCCTTTATATTTGTGGATTTTGAGATCGTTATTAGACATTCGAGTGAGGATGTCGAAAAAGAATCACATTCGTTGAGCTTGAAATTCAGTGTCTCAGGTCAGAGATAAATATTTGGCAGTCATAAAATCACAACCGATATTGAAAATCATGTGATTGGATGAGAGCCATCTCCTTAGTGACTGTTTACAGAGGAAAGTTCCAGGGATAGATTCATGGAAAACGTGAACATTTACAGACTGATCAGAGAAGGTGGATTGAACAAAGAAAACGGTGAAATCGTGCAGAATGTAGCCTGAGGTTCACAATGTTCAACGAGCTGGAGCACTTTCCCAAAGGGGGAGTGTTCAACGGTGTCAAGTTAGTGAGGATTAAGCACTGGCTTTTGGTTTCAGTAAAACATAGATACTGATGAGAAGTCTATATGACTTAATGGTTAAATCCTAGGTCACTTAATGTTTAAGTGTTTGGTTGATAATGGAAGGTGGGTTGTTTGAAAGAGCACATGGCTCTCTTCTATAGGGATTACAGCCTAGAAAGCCCTACTGGGAACATCTGTTCTGTCACGTGATGTCATGGTGAGTGGGAAAGGGCTTGTTGCCACGTAACAACAAGAGTGTTGGTAATATTGACAAGAATTGTGATGGTAAGTGTAGAATAATAGATCTAATTAGAGTAATTTCACAAAAAGAAAACATGAGCATAAGAAATAAGGCCAGCACTAATAGATTCACCTTTTAAGACCTTTGCCATGAAAGGAAACTAAACATTGGTGGTAGCCTGGTGGATTGTTGGGAACCATCATGGATCAGGCAGTCTGAGTGATGGAGAGGACATGGCAAGGCCCTGGACTCTGCCCTGTCCCCCCTGGAATGCTAACAGTTAAC